CACCTCCTCTTGCGTTTCTTCTGTTCCGTATTCATTCTACGCAATGGTGGGACGGATTTTTAGGAAAGATCATAAAATACGAGATAGTTATGCATGCTTCGGTCCCCGTTGTTTTCATTCACTTTCATATTAATAGACTGGCGAGTCAGTCTGAAACATTCGAGGAATCAAACTCATAAATAGTGATTATTCACAAGTCCCACAATCCACAAAATGTAAACCAATGTCCATCAAAAGTAGTTGAATCGTTCGTGTAGCTGATATAAATCACGAGATTTAGTTAATACATTTGTTTGCAGCTAGCCACATCCTTAATTTGATTACCAAATAATTTCATTGATTCCCGTATTAAGAAGAATTTAGTTTGGGTCATAACATAATAAGCGGCCACGACACTAATCGGGCAGGAAGAGCATAATGACACACGACGTCTAAGAGTAAAGCGACTTTATCAACCCGTAGTCGATATAAATAAATTCGTGCTTTCTATCATAAGGGTGCTTTTGGTAGGTGGTGAGGAGACGAAACTCTCGCTTCATCAATACACAATGGAAACCACTTTTTACCTCAAACTCTTTCCAAGCTTCAATCAACTTTACGCGATGCTCCTTGTCTATGACTGTCCGCAGTGCCTTGTTAGCTTCACGGTACACATCCCTCGCTCTTTCCACAGCATTGGCAGCGGCTAACTCGTTCCGAGCGCGTACTTCGGCACGTGTTAATCCTGTCTCTTCGTCCATATCCTCTTCGGTCTCTTGACTTTCCTGAGCTGCCGTTGGTTCTGGGAGCACATCCTGAGCACATAGCTCAAAACTTGCCAGACTGAGCCAAACCTAAAATAATTAAAGACAGTTTTTACGGGCGAATTGTCGAACAGCTATATTTAAGAAATAGGGTGAATACATATCATATAGCTGATTTACTGGTAGTCTTGAGGCTGCTTATATACGAAAAAATAAGTTATGTCGATTATTATAGCAAAAATACGTTTGCTTCATCGAAAATCCCACCAATGAATGTGATATGTGGAGAAGCCTGACCTTCCTAGGAATTCACATCTACGCTGTGAGCCAAGAACACTCATGGTAATGTTGCTAAGTGGTTAACGTCCCAAGCACATGCTATACTGCCACGGTTCGACTCCTGCTGAGGATTTTGATAAGACCTAGGCAAGGTCGGAACTCCAATCCAGCCTGTATGACAACTCTTGGGAAGGCAAGGCTCTGTAAAATTCAATGGAAACGCCAGCTCCATTCATATTATTGTGGGAGAATCCTAGTAGTAGTCCTTCATCACCATGAATACATCTCAACTGATTTACTGGTACTCTACAAAATGCTTATATACAAGGAAATAAAAAGCTTTATCGAAAAATAAAGCGCAATGGTGCTGCAGTAATGAGGTCCTCGGGAATCTGGCCGAAGAGCAGTGTAAATGCATTGATGGGATCGGGTGATGAGTATGTGTATAGCCTAAGTGAAAAAGGCCGATTAAGGAACTCGGTTAATCTAAGTAGCTTTAAGCCATCGAAATAATTAGTAATCCATAATTGCGCAAATAATTGTGGTAAATTTTTGTTTCACCGGCGTAGGTTGTAATGCTCAGATGGAAACATGTCGTGAGTGATAAGTGCAGGTTGCTGTTATCAGTATGTCACTTGTCTGAAAAAGAGTATTTGGTGGGTAGACTTAGGTATGCTACGATAGTTTGGTTAGTTTCCGAGCATAAAATATATCTATATTCGGAATACAAAAGACATTTACGTAAATAATTCATTTAAATCTAGGGACGAAGTTCTAATTATTTAGTTTATGATGCATCGACTCTCGTGGCCAGAAGATAGACCATGATTGGATGCGATTAATGTATTTTCGCAGCAAAGAATATTTTCGGATTTATTTTAGTGATTCACAATATGTACCTTTACGTGCTGAGTCCTCTGCATCAGTCGTCGATATAGCGCTCGGGCATGCTCCCAATCCCGTTGTTCTAATTCAAAGTCAATATAGGCCTTCCAAAGAAGTTCGGGCATGTCGAGCAGTCGTTGAGATACGCCCAACTCGTATATGCCTCTAGCACGGTCCAGCTCGCCTAAAAGACTCTCCATTTCCGCATACTATGAAAATTGGATTGAAAGGGATCGAAATTAAATGACAAAAAACGGAAACTAATTAATGGAGTGCTGGTGGGAGTATGTAGGCCTGTTTGGTATCATACTTGCCATTTATTTTGATAATGCAATAGCCGTAATCGACAAACCCAATTTTGTCCCACCACGAGTAATTGAAGGCCTTGAATTTATATTGCCGACAATGGGTTGCAGTTCCATCGTCACCTTAATCTTTTCATCGAGGAATTTTAAGTCGGAACATGCCAAATTGGTGATAAAAGAATGACCAACACATAATATTGATGCAATTCATTACTAGGACAGGAGGGGTCGTTGAATGCATATAAACATCATAGCAAGGGCAACCTTCTTTCTGATAAGTGCAACAGAGTAGATTCTAGCAAACAAGAGGTGAAAGAAAAACCATATTATAACCAACCAGCTATAAATTAGGCCAGATCCAAAGAGAAACCTGCCCATTGTCCAAATCCAATTAAGGGAATTTTACCATGAGATTTATAAAATACGATAAGGCAAAACAAGATTCAGAGGAACCATAGTACAAGACCCAATACATTTGGCTGGACAATTAAAAATGTAAAGCTTTCATTGTTTTAGAATAAAATTATTAATTTTAATCGAAGGTATGAAGACCAAGATGGTGTGGCCTTTCGTATGGTCGCAGTCTACTTTCGTTGTATAGAATTTGTTTGACATTGTTTTCGCAACTCGGTCATATCGGTAGGAAGACTTAGAGGAACGCACCTTGCCCGGAGTCCATTGTACGCATAATAATTTTCAAAGTCGGACCGTGGATGTGGTACATTCCCAGACGCTTTGCCGGCATCGTCAGTGAGTTTTGCCATTCGTAGCACCATATTACAATGTCAAGAGGCAGATGTGTGATAAGATAACCCAAACCTCTCATAATATTCATATATAACATGATTTGTCCTAATAAGGCGAACTTGCGCCCGTCATTATAACCAACGATACTATTATATGCATGATAAGAAGACTTAGAAACAATGGGTATTCCTTTTGGTAAGAATAAACATATTCATTACGTGGATGACGTCATCAGTTAAAATATAAAATAAAAGTTACTATTCGAGGGTATAAAGACCAAGATCGTGTGGCCATCTGTGTGATCTCAGTCCCCTTTCGTG